AGGCTGGACCGTCCAATTTCACAGCCGCTTACTTCCAGCCTACCCGACCTTCTGAGGACCCGGCCCACGTAGACCGCAAAGGCCGGGTCCTCAGGAGGATGCAGCCCATGAATTTGGACATGACTATAGTGTCTTGTCTTATGTTAATTAGTGTGAAGTCAGAACAAAAAGGGCACTAGTGAATGTCACAGTTGCTAGCTAAAAAATAGACAGAAACATGTTTGTGGTTTTCACAGTAAAAAAAACTTCATAAGTAATTTAAATTTGATATTTTTCGTGTACTTTTAGATCAATTGTGTTAACACAGAATGTCAAAATGAAAATGTAACTGTAATTTCAGACAAAGGTAAAATCAAAAGTAGTCACAAATGTGTAATTATACACTAGACCCCAGGGGATTAAGAAATTCAAGCACAAAGCGACTGCACTTCCTGAGACGACTGAAGAAGGTGCACCTCCCCAAACCCATCCTTATCCTTAGCACCTTCTACACAGGCACCATAGAGAGCGTCTTAACCAGCTTTATCACAGTCTGGTACGGAAACTGAAACGCATCCAACCATAGAGTCCTCCAGAGGATTGTGTGGACTGCTGAGCGCTTTATTGGCAGCTCTCTACCCAGTCTACAGGGTATTTACACCTGACACTGAATTTGTAAAGCCATTAGCATCATGGCTGACCCGCATCACCTCTCCCACCAACTGTTTACTCCTCTTCCATCCGGAAGATGACTCTGCAGCATCAGGAGCAGGTAGTTTTTTCCCACTAAGCAGTCCGGCTCCTGAACACCATGCTGCCCTCCATCACACATATAACACTCTCCTCTCACTTCCAATACTTGATCTATTCCATATGACACTGTTCCACTCTTGTATTTATTTATTCTCATTTTTCTATTTTTTATTCTATTTCTATCTAATTACAGTACTGCTGTACTTATTCTTAGTTTATCTTAGTTCTGTATTGTTGTATTTGAAATTTTTAGTGCTGTCAAAATTAACGCGTTAACACAAATTAATCCACTACATTTTTTTAACGCAATTAACGCAACTGGAGTGCAGAATGACTCAAAATCCCTGAAATGTTTCTGTCAGCGCATTTCGGGCAGTTTGTCGAAATAGAGTTACCCTCGCACATGTGCAAATGGGCAGTTGATCTGGTAGTGACGGGCAGCTGAACCAGTCAACTCAATATGGAAGATGATAAACACACATTGGCCCTCTCGATGGGAAATTTCAGTATTAAAAAAAAATAACAAGATGGAACAGTCGGCCGACATAAAGTATTTTGCACATTGTGCAAGAAGGAATTTTCTTTTCACCGAAGCACTTCCAGCTTAAAATATCACATTGAAGCGAAGCCTACTTCAGTCAGGGATGCTGCTAGCACTTTGGCTAACGTGTCACCCAGCTTGCACCAAACCAATCACGGAGCATCGGGGTCTCGGTAAGTCAACCTCGGACATATTAACTGACACAATTGCAACAAACTGCAGACCTGTTAATATCGTTGAGAAGAGAGAGAGGATAAATGTTCACAGTTTTTTGTTTACATGAAGGTTTAAGATGTTCAAAAAACATGTTAAGTGTGTATATTTTCCCTTTTTTCTGTTTGCTCATGCAAAGTGAAATGTGATTAATATAGAATAAAAATAAATGATATTTAATTGTGATTAATCAAAATTAATCCACAGTAACCCTGTGATGAATCTGATTAAATATTTTCATTGTTTGACAGCACTAATATATATTATATATGAGTGTATACTTACTTCTTAGTATTTAGGTTTTTTAAAAAGTTGTATTTCACAGGAGAGAAGCTGTGTTAAAAGACTGAAACTATTCAAATTCTCTTTGAATTTAAGCATTTAGCATTCTTTGTGTTTATTCTGCTTCATTATGTTGCATAAATGTCAGTTACAAGCTTAAATATAAAGTTGAAAAAAATGTAATTGCAACCAGGCTATTGATCAAGTAATTGCGATTAATTGCGATTAATCACAGAAAAATTGTGCGATTAATTAGATTGTTTTTTTGTTTTTTTAAATCTATTGACTAGAAATTTTATTTTTATTTCTACACTTTGTAACTTCGACCCAGGAGGATGACATTTCATCCAACTGTACACTTTGAGTGTATAATGTTGGGTTGACAATAAAACTGTTTGACTTGAAATTCTTTGGCCAAGGGTCTGGATTCACAACAGTTACGAATCACCAACAACCTGGAACTGTTTTGTAATTCAATGTCTAGGCCTGTTTTTGGAGAGGGAGAGGAGTCTTCATCAGCCAGTGAGGAAGTTCTGGATGAACAAGAAGGACTGGACGGGTCCACAAAAGCCCCAGTAGTCAGTGAGTCAGAAGAAATCCAACTGAAAGCAGGCAGGGACCAGACCTGCAGCCAAACTTCAAGTAAACCTTAATTCTCATCAAAACACCTTCCCACTTCTTCCTTGTCCTGGAATATTTGAAGGAGATTTGATCACCCAAGTAATGCTTTATCCAAGTTATGTGGGATGATCTGATTTCAACAAGTGTTCGGCGATCACACACCAAAGGAACAAACTCATCTTTACTGCAAATACAGAATAAACATACTTCAAACAGGAAACCAGTTTAGGTCACTGGTCAAACGTGTGCCCATATGCCTTATTGCTAGAAAGCAACAGCCGGGGTTTGAGTGCGACCTGTGGCCTTTTGCTCTGTCTTCCCTTGCCCTCCTATCCTGTCTACTCTGCAATGATGAATTTTGAATACAGGTTAAAAAAAAATAGAAGAAAGAAATGCAGCAAACCATAATCCAAGCAGACCTGACAGATGGCCATGCAGATATCAGTCTCATTTATGCTTCTTGGTCGCACAAGGGCAAAGTGGGCTTGCACTCTTATGAAATTTATCCAACCACAAACAATTCAACTACCAGATCAACTGAGCAACATGGTTAAATCAACTCTGTGCACGTGTGTGTAGGCCAGGCTATCTCACACATATACACAGTAAAGTGCGACTGACAGGTGTCCCAGAGCTTGACATGGTTACCATCCATTGCCATGGGTCCCAATTTAGAAATAAATACATTTTTGAAAAAGGAAACGTTTCTCTTTCTCTCAGCACAGTGGGCAGCGGTTAGCACTCTCACCTAAAAGCACAAAAGGGTCGTTGGTTGTAATTTACCAGCTGGCTTCTTCTATTTGTTAGCCACACCATAAACTGGGAACCTGGCAGGGGTGTATTACACAGCCAGAGCAGGTCAGCCACTAATCAGAAGGTCGGTGGTTCGATCCCAGGCTGCATGCCAAATATCCTTGGGCAAGATACTAACCCCATGTTTGCCTACTGGTGGCGCCAGTGTCTGGCAGCCTCGCCTCTGTCAGTGCGCCCCAGGGCAGCTGTAGCTACGATGTAGCTGCCATCACCAGTGTGTATGGGTGAATGACTGAATGTAGTGTAAAGCGCTTTGGGGTCCTTAGGGACTGAGTAAAGCGCTATACAAATGCAAACCATTTACCTTTTACAGTCCCACTGTGGAGTCAGCCAGTAGTTTTTATCCAATTTCCACAAAACACTAATCATGGATAAAGTTTGCAATACATTTATAAACACTGGACAAGCAACTGAAACATTTTCATGCAGATTGCATTTCTGCTTTGTTGCTCACAACTTTTGTGTTATTACTTTGGAACATAATTTCTTCCAGTAGTAAAAGCAGCACTAACTGAACTGTGGCATCTTTAACAGGAGTTTTTATTCCCCTTGTTGCCTCAGTGTTCTTTCTCAGTAACCTGCTCTCCAACCTTCGTCCAGCTGCTTGTCCTGGAAAAATTAAACTTTGAAGTGATATTGTGTTATCATCCCCTCAGTAACCCATTTAGGGTTGGTTTGCTTGTAAGTCAGATGTAATGTAATGTGAATGTGAGTTTACAGAATTACTTACTGTAAGCACACATTTACAGTGAGTAACGTGTTTCTGGTCTTTGACCACTTAGCCGATTTAGAATCGCAGAATAAGCTACCATGCAGGAGGATATGAGGCTGTAAGTTCATGGATTGCAGCTGCCAAAGTTTTTGTTTTTCCATATGAACACACTATGTGTCTGTTCACTGCTGGACAATGATCTTCTCATTCAGTGTAGGTGGGTTTAATGCTCAAATGTGGCTACTAAGGCTATACAGAGAAAATAAAGAAGCACAGCTTTGAGAACTGACCTCAGGCCTGTTGAATCCAGGAGTCCAGGACTGAACCCGGACCCCTACCTGCACAGTCCCATTACATAAGAGTATTATCAAAATACCAAACACTAACCCCACCCCATTCCTCCACGAGTGCCTCAGAGATCAGTGACTGCTATAGCTAGTAAAAGTACGTGACTCAAAACATTTTAAAGTGAAACTTTCCGATGGATGTTGGCAAACTAACAGATTTGACTATTTAACATCCAGTATTTTGTAGTTAGGCAGTATTTTCCTTGCAATACTTTAAGACTGAATCAATCGCCTTATTCCTCTGTCACTAATCAAGATGTGGACAAAGTGATTACGTAGCACCACTCAACACACACAGAGCATGAAAGAAACACAAATTGTTAACTCCTGGCCTGCTCGCTCAGCTTACAGGTATGTTTCACAGTGGAAGTTGCTAATCTTTGACTCACTGAGGAGATTGTAAGAAGCAGTTGAGAACTGCTGAGTGGAACTTGAATTACAGTGTTTTGCCAAGCCCTTAATATACAGTTAGTATCGAGCTGCATTGTGCGACTTTGAACTGACTGACCCACCATCAGGTCAGTGGGGTTTAAGAGATTAGCAGTTGTTACAAAATCATGCTTCAGAGGTGCTTCACTAGGTGACTGAAGTCTCACTAGCCAGTTTGCTGTAACGTAGTCTTTAGTTTTATGAAAATGAATAATATGACCCCAACTGCTTGAATCGAATCATATGACACCTATTAACAAGTCCACACACACACACACACACACACAAAGAGAAACTGCAGACACATTACCAGACCACCGCAGGTGCTAACTGATGCCAGAGAGTCTGTATGGTTAATGATGGCTCCAGAATAAAAGCATAGCTGGTTCTTGGATAAGCTGTTTACCACTGCGCTTTCCCCCTTGTACCTCTCCTCTACTACAAAGTCCTTGGACAGAAACGTGCTATCCCGCGTTAGATTTAAATGCAGGTTGCTTCCGAAAGCGGGCAGTAAGACGATGATGTTTTCTGGTTCCGAGCGTCCTTCTCTCGCGGCGTCCAGGGAGCGCTGACCGCGGCGCAGGGTGCGGGTAGTGTGGTCGGATAGGTGCGCCTCCTGGCCATACAGCAGCCTGGGAATTACTTCATCTGTCTCCAGCTCAGACTGGGCTGTGGATAGAGACAGCCTCCATCAAACAGCTACCACATTGGACAAAAATAGTCTATCCTAGTCTGCGTGAGGAGACAGTCTGCTCCGGTGCTCCCTGACTCTTAGCACACACGTTCAACATCCGAGCTCAGTTTGTGGATCTCAAAAATCTAAAGCCTTCGACTATTCGTAACAGAATGCAAGTAACTGGTGAGAAACATTTGGATTTTTAACTGCAGAAAGACATTTCTTCAGCTGCTCTGTGTCAGCCGTCGTACAAGGCAATGAGTTCATGCGTAAGAGCTGTTATACTTACCAGTGAATGCGATGCAGAGGAGAAAGAGCAGAGGGACAACATGGCTGTTAACCATGATAAAAACAAAGCAGCGCAGAAAGAAAAACTAAAAGTGCTTTATTTTGAGGAAACCGACGCGCTTAGCGAGGCATAGGTCGGAAACTCTACTTTTCCAAAGTAGGAGAAGCTTCAGTAACTCAGGCTGGAATTACTTTGCAGCGCAGGACACGCCCACACAGCTGGAGTCCGCCTCTACTCGCGTGAGATTGGGTCCGTTAAACCTTAAGGCGACCGAGGCCGAGAAATCTCTCTATTCTCATTGGCCGGCAAAGCTGTTGGAAAGTGTCGTGGGTTGAAACCCTACACGTGGTTTCAAGTGGGGAGAATTGCTGATAATTGTCAAAGGTTTTTTTTGTATTCTGCTTTTCATTTTTAAGAGAAAACTTTGCATAGACGGGAGGGATGAACAAACGAAAGAAGATGTGATTGTTGAACAGTAAAAATACAAATAAAAAGGAGATCATTTTTAAGATTACACAAACCAGAGTTTTTAGGAGTAGCTGCATAAATTGTACTTAAATAGTTTTTTATATTCTAATTGTGCTCTCAAGAAACTTTTTATTTCAAGCCTCATCTGACAGTCACACATGACACAAATTCCATAATATACTTTGAATTGCAGTCTGGAGGAGCCAAGGATTGAGGCACCACTCTCTGGATTAGATGACCTGCTCTATCTCCTAAGTCACAGCTGCCCCATAAGGAGGCAACCTATATAATCAACACACAAAATTAAATGATTCAACAGATGCACTCCAGCTCTAAACCTTTGTAGAAGTTACCCATCAAGAATTGAACACTAAACAGTCTTTAGCCTGCTGGCCTCCTAACACAGCATCTGTGCGATGTCCTATATGTGTGAGAACAGTGCAGGTAGTTGCCCGCTTCATTTGTTGCATTTGCTGTATATAAAATATGCCCATGAGTCTGAAAAATTAAGTTCATATGTAAATTCCTTTAACCTGCATTCTTTTGAATGATTAGTTGTTACTAATTATGATTACTGAAAGAAGTCCAGCTACATAGAAATCAGTGGAGAAATAGAACTTAGCTCCCTTGATTCATTCATTCATACAGTTGGGGCGACCGTGGCTCAGGGGGTTGGGAAGCGTATTTGTAACCGGAAGGTCGCCGGTTCGATCCCTGGGCTCTCTGTCCTGGTCGTTGTGTCCTTGGGCAAGACACTTTACCCTACTGGTGTTGGCCAGAGGGGCCGATGGCGCGATATGGCAGCCTCGCTTCTGTCAGTCTGCCCCAGGGCAGCTGTGGCTACAACTGTAGCTGCCTCCACCAGTGTGTGAGAGTGAATGAATAGTGGAATTGTAAAGCGCTTTGGGTGCCTTGAAAAGCGCTATATAAATCCAATCCATTATTATTATTCCCTTATTAATCAGTGATGAGTATAACATCTCAGTTTTTAGTTTTAAGGCTTTTAAACACAGCATGGTATTCATCATGTAAATAATGGTCCAGTCCACATTAGATTCCAGATGCACAATAAGTACTTTAATCATTTAGACCTCTTTTCAAAATACATTAAGACAGAAATATTGGTCACAGGTTTTGAATATGTGAAATTCTGAAACATTTATTTGATACAAAGTAAATGGATCCCTGACCCTGCATACTATCATCTATGGCTACACTCAGTGGCCGAGATGGCCTGTAGGTGGGAGTGGACCCAAGAGCAGACTCAGCGGACAGTTAGGTTGTGATTTAAACAAAGCCTTATTCAAATTAGTGACGTGAACTGTAGGTGTGGTGGTGAGAGTCCCTATCGAGGAAGCAACTGGAACAGAGGGAGCAAATAGTTCATTTCAGTGAACGGGTGAGGATGACTGAAGGCAAGTAAGAGTTGGGATGATGAAGCCTTACTTGTAGGTGGATGAGAGTTTGCTCTAGGGTAGAGTATGACCGAGTGAGCGTCTGGCTGACGATGTACGCGAGCTTGCAGTTACAACCTTTTGTTTCCAGAGGTCCAGCGATGGTGCAGCAAGCAGGAGGGCAGGCAGGTGGGAGCAGCTGAGTTTCCAAAGAATGATTTTGCAAGCTTACTTGGAAGGTTTAGCATGAGGAATGTGTCTAATCTTTCCAGCCAATTGCTTTGCCAAAAGGCAGATCCCACGAAGCCCTTTTTAACAGCTCGTTTGAAAGTACTGACATCTGTTGGTTATTCAACGTACAGCAGCCCTGCTGTGGCATTAAATGTGTGCTACATACCAGTAGTAGGTATGTAAATGTAATGATGTACAAATTATAGAATACCCACATGAGGCTACACATATTGGTGTATACACACACACACACACACACACACACCCACACACACACACACACATGTGACAGACATAACATGACTAGTGACCAGCATCCAGAGGACTGAGTTACCGGTAAACAAGGCAACACTTGTATAACAACAAGCACCATGAAGGTCTAGTTACAACCATGATGACAAACGCTGATTGTTGCTGACGAACGACGGGTAGAGATGCAGGTGTGGAACCAGAGGTCTGCTCCAATGGGTGGACACAAGAAAAGCAGAGCCAAAACAGAAAAACGCTGGACACTCACTCGGGTCATGACAACTAGCCTGTATAGACAATTGCAATCTCTAGTACGTTGCCACATTCCAGAATACTAATACGGGAAAAATCTTTTTAGCTCAGACTTACAATGCTGCTTTAGATCAAGTTGTTTTGTGGAAGAATATACAAATAAACTTAAAAAAGACTGTTGCAGAAATAGTGGTGGCAGACCTGCAAATAAGCACATGGAGCAGTTGGATGAATTGTTGACAGGAATAATGGAGAACCAACAACCTTTGGAGAACATATCAGATCTAGAGAGTTCAGACCAGGGATCACGCACACCTGAACTGAGTATATTAATGCACCGATTTAGCCTTTCTCTCATTTCACACCATTGTTGGTCATCAACAACTGTCTCATTTCATTTGTTCATTTGATCATATGAACTGTTCTTGTGTGTAGGTGGAAGTCAAATGGACAGAACCACAGAGTTGCAAGGCAGTTTACCCTTTATGAAGGACCGCAGTGATACCAGCAGTGAATAAAGAAATGTTCATTACATCATATTGTTTTCCTTGTTAATATACCAGACAAATACACTTCAGCGTGTGAAAATGAGTATTTCAGCATAACAATGAAAAGCTAAATGTCTAACGCTGCTACTTAAAGTGGCAGAATGCAAACGCACCTCTATAAGAAATTGTTTCTGTGGTTTGTTAGAACTGAAGGTTGATCAGTCCTGCCTGAGCTGTGTTCATTGTTTTTGTTTGTTTGTTTTGTTTACCTTGTTTTACATTTTATTCTTTTAATCATTTCTTGTAATGCTGTTAACTTTTCAGTACTTATCTTTGCCAATAAAAAGTTAAATTGAACATTTTCAAAACAAGCTTTTGTTTAACATGTCCACCTAATAAATTAGATGTATCTAGTTCTTTCATGGACAAGTTGTGACTGACAAAATCTCTACATTTTGTTTCACCTTATAATATTTTTAACCAAATTATATTTGACCTTAAAGTATTAAAGTTGCTTTCCAGGGCTTGTATAAGATGATAGTTTTCATCACATCATTCTGTATCATGTGGTTGCCACAGTAGCTTGACTTACGACTGTTACTGCTGTGTGAACAGGATGTCGGTGTAATAATGTATCAAAATAGAATTCCAGTGATGACTGTTAACCCTCTCCAGGCAGGCGTTGCCGATTTGCAACAGTTAAAAACTAACAACCTGATTACCCCACATACATATTTTATGGGCTTTTTAACTCAGAAGCACCACTGCAGGACTTGGTTGTGCATTAGCAACAAAAAGTTTAATTTGAGCCTGAGAGGGTTAAACACTTGGTCTCCATGTGTTTTTGTTTCCAGATATATACCATGCACCCAGCTCTTCTAATAAGCAAATCTTCCACTCTTCATACAACCTGACAGGTCTTACTGGCTTCTGATACAATTTATCATCAGTAGCATACAAGACATTTCTTCAAAATTTAGTTGAGTGTCTCAATGCAATAACTCAACTAGAAAATGTCTGTATATAATTTATCCAAATTATTATTTTGATAATTATGTGTGCCAATGGAATACAATTACTAATAATTTTTTTGTTTCATGCCCAAACCTTTTGATCTCCATGCATAACACACGCATCAAAATGTAACCAGTGTTGTCCTCTTTCAGCCAGTGTCATAGGATTTATGGTTCCCTCATGAATCCCACCAAAACACAGACTCCTGCAATCACATTGATCATAGAGAATAATTATAACTCCACATGTCCACCTAATGCACACCACAAACATGAAAACAGAGAATTTTGTGTTTGGGTAGTTGCTGCCACTTACAGTGGAGTAATCTCTGCAATAACTTAGAGTTTGCTCTAAGTTATTGCAGGGACATCCCTGCCTCTCCCTGATGAGTGCATATGTAGATGATACCCAGCTTTATCTATCCATGAAGCCAGGAATGGGATGATAATGTGGCATTTGCCTGGTGGGTCAACGCACTAGTGGGCCAATGAGTCAACAACATTTTTTGTTGTTGTTTTTTCATACACATACATAGGTAGAGGACATGCCCCTTAGAGACCTGGCAGCGATGGCGGGGCTATGACAGAAAGAGGAGGGAACCCATAGGGTTAGGTGACACATGCCCTATGGGCTCAGAAGTGGATTAAGCAGGCAGGATGAAAAACTCTAGGAACGCAGGACGGATACGATTTTCTGGAGACATCAGAGACTGCGGCTGCTTGCTGGAACACCCAGCTGGCGCTTGAGGCTATGGCTGCTCGGTAGGGCATGCAACCAACGTTACAGGTGACAACGACTGTGGCTTTTCTGGCATGGGATCCACCGAGGCTCCAGATTTAACTGGGAATCCCAGCTGTGGAATAGACTCTGCACATGCCAAAGTCCCTGATGGGGTAAGCTCAGAAACAGAATATGCAGTCTTGGGGCAAGTTATCAGAGTGAGCCAGCTGTGGAAGACGAAACACAATTCTTTCCACATTGAACTACAGGGAAACGAAACAATCAGAGGCCAATTCAGACACAGAAAAGTCTAAATACTTTCTTACCGGTCGACACAGGAACACCTAGTGTTCTATTTGTGACAACAGTAGCACAAAGATCTGTACCTTTATTATTCGGCC